AATTTTCGAGCACTGCTCTCTCCAGTGGCGTATTATTAGGAAAGTTCTCAGCGTTTTGTGTTACTATTTTTTGTACATTCATTGCTGATTAAAAACTCATTCTCCCTTGCGTCTCAGTAGTACATCCTGAAGAGAATTCTTTGCGCTATCTGATGGTATAATTGCCGTTTCACCATTGCTTGATAAACCCCCTTTTCCCAAGACTTTTTGAAGCATGTCAAAAGAGCAACTTCGGACGATATTTTTCTTCGACTATAAATTGGGTCAATCCGCAATCGAGAACAGCTCAACAAATTAACCAGGTGTGGGGCCCAATAGTGCTAGAGAAAGCACTGTGCGGCAATGGTTCAACAAATTTCGTTCTGGAGATTTCAGCCTTGAAGATGAACCTCGTAGCGGTCGACCTAAAGCAATACCTGACGATTTGAAGGCGTTTGTGGAGGCTGACCCATCCCAAACAGTTCGAGAGATTGCAGAAAAGCTAGGCGTTGGCAAATCCACTGTCTGAAACGCATTGGGAAGGTGAAAAAACTCGACAAGTGGGTGCCCCACAATTTGAGTGACCGGCAGAAATTGGCACGTCTCGAGGTTTCTTCTTCACTGCTTTTGCACAACAGAAACGACCCGCTTTTGGACCGAATTGTCACGTGTGATGAAAAGGAGATCATGTATGATAACAGGAGACGTTTCGGACAGTGGTTGGATGCCGGCGGACCCCGAGGCAATTTCCAAAGCCGAATCCTCACGAAAAAAGGTTATGGTCACAGTGTGGTGGTCATCGGCTGGTGTGATCCACTATAACTTTTTGTCACCAGGCCAAACCATCACAGCAGAGTCCTACTGTGAAGAAATCGACGAAATGTACCGAAAATTGCGTCAGCTGCAGCCAGCACTTGTCAACAGGTCCGATTCTTTTGCATGACAACGCTCCGACACGTCCACAAAATCACTATCCATAAATTGAACGAATTGGGGTTGAAGTTCTACCTCACCCGCCATTCTCCAGACCTTTCACCAACCGACTATCACCTTTTCAAACATTTTCAGAACTTCCTTGCTGGAAAATACTTCATCAATTAGGACCAGGCAAAAAAGCCTTCGTGGATTTCGTAGATTCTCGACCACCCAGTTTTTCCTTTGATGGGATTTCTCGACTGGTGTCACATTGGCAAAAGTGTGCTGATTCGAACGGTGCTTGTTTCGATTGAATCCGATGAGTATTAAGAAAGTTATGATCGTTTAAAGTGAAACACTCAAAACGCTGAGAACTTTCCGGACAACGGAGCCGGCGATAAGGGGAAGCAGAAACGAGTGCGGATAGTGTAAAACGAAGTAAAGTAAGAAACTCTGGGCTCATTTTTCTTTTAATGATAGGGGCTCGAGAGAAAACGGAGACTCCCGTTATTCTGTTTAATGCCATTAGTTTTGGTTATAGCATTATCATTTTGATACAGTACAGTCCACTAATCAGTATAATTTGCAATGACTTTAAGCTGCTTGTGGTCATTAGTGAGAGGACTACTCTATTTTCAGACCAAGACGGTGCAGAGCCTTGTGCTAATTCGGTGGCCGTGGGAAATCTAGTGCGTCTGTTCGATTTCCTCGATAAAAAGGAATATAAGCAAAAGGCTGAGAAGATAATTCGAGCATGTTCTACCAGGCTGGCAAAGTTGGTGATTGTGTAGTGTTTGGATTCCTTTGTTACTGCAAAGTAATATTGAAGTGTAATCGCATTGTTTTCAGACACTCCTATATTTTGACAAAGATGATACCTAACTATCATCGAATGCTGAAGGGTTCCGCGAAGGTGAGTTAATGCGGTCAAAGTGAGATCCTCTTCAAGGGGAGGGCCTGGCTGGATACTGTAGAATTGGCGACACTAGCTATCACCACGTGAAAAATCCCGCGTTGCTCTCCAATATTTACAATCTAATTTACAATCTAGACGGCTTTCTGTACTTCTGAACTTGGTGCGTCGTGACTAGTTCAACATAAGGTGGGGCTAACTTGCACTAATTCGACTAGTGTTCAAAGGGAGGCCAAATATGCGTGGCAATGGCGATTAGGGCACGTTCTGCCGCGAGGAAAAAATTCGCAAAATGCCACCCCGTTCAAAAGTTTACTGCTTCGCTTCAAGGGGGAGGGGAACACAGGGTAAACCTGGTAATGTGAGGAGCCAAAGCTCGATGACATTTTTCTCAATGGCAAATACGACTCTTCTTCCTTCAGCGGCCATACACGGCCCTTCTCGCTAGGTATCAACGTACGATGTCTCGATGGCCACCCTACCTATAAGGGGACTTGACCGCCTCGTGGGCAGACTATTTCTTAAAACCACCTTTCTATGCCCAACGTAAATGCCTACCACATGTTTGGGGCAGCGCGGAGACAGGCTTGCTAACTGTGAATTAAATCCATAATATCCAAGTTGCTTTGTTAGCTGTCGTTCTTCTAGTATCACCCCACCCACTTGCGTCATGATCCGTGACTTTTGAAGATATGTCGAGGAACTTTTGCAGATTGTTGTTGTCGGCGAAGCGTCAAATGAACTGGTGAAGAGTTTCCGGGAGGAGATAAATACGCACTACATTTGGAATAGTTTGATTCTGTTTCTGGATCCCACTACTGGCAAGTATTTTCGGTAGCACTGTCATTACTGGATCTACCTTTTAGTGGTCAAATGTATTTCAGATAACTCTTTCCTTACTGAAAGAAGTGAAGT